ACCTGAATAGGTGAAAATTGTCCAGGGATTCTAAATACTATTCTTGTAGTTTTCCTTTTGTTCTTTTTAAAGAACCCTTCTGTATATATGCATACACACATACACATATGTACATAACAAGAAGTGTACATACTAAAATTAATAATCTTGGATTGAGAAATGAGAAGTAAACAATATATTTTTAAATTTCCTGTAGCCGGCGCCGCGGCTCACTAGGCTAATCCTCCGCCTAGCGGCGCCGGCACACCGGGTTCTAGTCCCGGTCGGGGCGCCGGATTCTGTCCCGGTTGCCCCTCTTCCAGGCCAGCTCTCTGCTGTGGCCAGGGAGTGCAGTGGAGGATGGCCCAGGTGCTTGGGCCCTGCACCCCATGGGAGACCAGGAAAAGCACCTGGCTCCTGGCTCCTGCCATCGGATCAGTGCGGTGCGCCGGCCACAGCGCGCCAACCGCGGCGGCCATTGGAGGGTGAACCAACGGCAAAGGAAGACCTTTCTCTCTGTCTCTCTCTCTCACTGTCCACTCTGCCTGACAGAAAAAAAAAAAAAAAATTTCCTGTAGTATAAACAACAAATTTTTTATGTTATAAAGCATTGCTTTTTAAAAAATCTTTTTGCCTTTTAGTTCTTTATTCTCTCATCTTTATGTTATTTTTTTGTAAAGACTCCACATCCTAGAATCAATCACTTAGTGTTCTTTTGGATTTAGAGTGAGAAAATTCTGTCAGTGTTTCTTCTTTCATCACTTCCTTTTCTCTATTTCTACGGGGGTATCTTGTACACTTGATTGATTTCATCTGGCATCCCCAGCTTCCATATTTGTACCCCACTCCTTCCCACACACATGCTTGGTTTTCAATGACGTTGCCACATACTGCAGCCAAAAAGCACACAGGCACAGCTTTGACTACATCATTTCCTTCTTCAAATTCTTCAAAGGGATTTCTTTGCATATGCAATTCAGATTATTCATATCCTTTTTCAAAGAGCCTTTATCCTCATCTACACATAATCCATGATATCTCCCATCAATCCTCTTGTACATACAGCTTTTTGTTGCTTAATATTGCCAATATTTAAAAAAATCATGTTAATGTTAATTTTATTTTAAATAATATTCTTCTTGTAAAGATTTTTCTTAGCATTTTTCAAGGTGCTTTTTTATGTTTTAATTTCCTTAATGTTTATACAAGGAAAGGAAGAAATGTCTAACATTTGAATATCAGTGTATAGAGGGGAGCAAATAAGTGGACTTATCATAGATCACATCTTGTAATTTAATTTGTTATTAAAATATTCTAAGTCAAAGTAAAAATTTCATGGGCTAGGAATTTAAAATGTTTTGATAAATTCTACCTTAGACCATTTAATTCTTCCTAAAAACTGACAACCATTTCACTGCCAATATTTTTTTTTTTCTTGTTTTTGTCCCTGACAAATGGGCAAGGAATAGGCACCTATGTTTTTCCTCACTATCTTCCAAATGAATTCACTTTTATAGTTAGTTGATTTTTGTACAGTTGGCTTCTATAGTAATTAAGTTCTTATTTCTCAAATAGCTAAGTTTCTTTCTCCAATCCTGACAAAGGGTTATAAACTTGTTATTTTTGTAAACAAAAGAAGTTTATATCAATGAAAGAACAAGTCTGCTATTTATAATGAAAATCATATCACAAGATGAAGAGTATTATAATATCAAAAAAGCAAACACTATAAAAGTGGTTTAATTCTGTATATAGAAGCCTATCTTCTTTTAAGAAGTAGAACTGGCCAGCATATACTGATATATCCAAGAATGAAAAAAGGTAGGAAAAATTATGATACTCATACATGAATACAAATGCAAGAAAACCAAAGTCTGGCATTTTATTTTATCTTACTGCATCATGTTTAACTGCTTTCTTCATATGCTTGTCAGTTTGGGCTTTTTATTCTACACCACCAGATACAAAGGGTAATTTGAATCCACTTGATTCAAGATTTTGTTTATTAGTCATCAAAAAACCTGTTATACTGGTACATTTGCTACCTGGACAGTATTATTGTTAACACTACAGTCTACATTTCTTGAAAAAACAGAAATTTATTATCTCATGGTTCTAGAGGATAGATTCTAGATTAAGGTGTCATTATGGTTGTTTGTGTCTTTTTTTTTCTCAGAAGTTTGCTCTTTGGTTGCTCCTTGGTTTACATATGAGTGCCTTGCTCCTGTATCGCAACAGGGCCTTCCTTCTATAGACAAGCATCCCTGCTGTATTTGTGTGTCCAGATTTCCTTTTCTTATAGAAACATCAGCTAGGACATCTTTAGGCCTACCCTAGAGATCTTATTTTAACTGATCCACCTCTTTAAAGGCCCTGTCTGAAAATACAGCTGGAAACACAGTTCAGTCCATAATAACTTGGAACACCATTACAATTGGATTAACAGCCCCCTCTAAGGTTTTTACTTTCTCTGAAGTCAGATATTTCAGTCCCAGTGATATTAAGACTGAAAAACTGGTTAGGTGTAACTGTGAGACAAGAATATATTTACTTCTTGTAAAAACTGTATTTTTAGTTGTTAAGAATTATTAATTCCTATGATGTTGAGAAACTAATTTGAGTTTTTCTGATTTTCTTGTTTTGAAAATTAATTTTTTGTTTGGCATACAATAGTTTCATATTTAAAGGACACAGCATAATTATTTGATAAATGTATACAATATGTATAAAACAAATCAGAGTAATTACTATGTCCTTCTTAATTTATCATTTCTTTATGTGAAAACTCTACAAACTCTTCTCTTTTACTTCTTTATAAAATATAAAATAAACTGCTATGAACTTAATTTTCTTTTTCTTTTTTTTAAAGATTTTTTTTATTTATTTGAAAGGCAGAATTACAGAGAGGCAAAGACAGAGGCAGAGAGAGAGAAAGGTCTTCCAACTACTGGTTCACTCCCCAAATGGGCAAAACCACTGGAGCTGGGCCATTCTAAAGCCAGAAGCCTGGAGCTTCTTTCAGGTCTTCCAGGTGGGTGCAGGAGCCCAAGGACTTGGGCCATCTTCCACTGCTTTCCCAGTGCCCATATATGATGTTGGCGCCACAGGTGGTGGCTTTACCTACTATGCTGCAGTGCCAGCTCCTTAATTTTCTTCTTATAAAAAATAAGTACTTATTTATTTATCTTGTTTGAAAGACAGGGTGATAAAGACAGACAAACAGAGATCTTCCATTTCCTGGTTCATTCCTCAAATGCCTGCACCAGCTAGGACTGGGGTAGGCCAAAGCCAGGAGCCCAGAACTCCATGATAGTCTCCCACGTGGGTGGTAGGGATCCAAGTGCTAGGGACATTCCCTGCTGCCACTCAGGGTGCACATTAGCAGGAAGCCGGAATTGGCAATGGAGCTGGTCCCAAATCCCAGACACTTTCATAGAATATGTGGATATCCCAATCTGCATGTTAACCAGTGCACCAAATACTGGTCCCTTATTTTTCATTTTATCAGACAGTGTAACTACTTTGGTTTAGTGGACTTCCTACTTGAGCAATGACATCACAGTAACACAGACTGGCCCAGTGCTTTTCTCCTTGTATCTCTCCCACATCATGGATGTAGCAAGGAGAAGTGAAGACTGTTGAGCACAGAAATGGGAATGTTTTAACGTTGTAGTTGCATTCTCAGAAGTAAGTAAACTCATTTTTGCACATTGAATAAAGAACACCTTTGACACAGTATAATACTATTTTTAAACTAGATTCAAAATGCGCCTTAGAATCTATTTCAAAGTCTAAATTTTACTTTTCTTTCCATTTTTGACTGAAAATATGCATAGATATGCCTTTATTTTTGGCTTTTGTAGGGGGGTGGATTCATTGATCTTGAATGTGTAGATGTGATCTTTTGGTTACAAGCAGCAGAGAGAGACTCAGTAATTTCAGCAGGCTTATTCAGCTAGTTCACAGAATTGAAGCTGAAAAACTTGGATCATAAACAGAAAGGACAGGCTTCAAGGCTGTTAGAAGTGTTATGTAGCCAATGTGCCACAGCTATGGGCTTTCTGGATACCCCAGCTGCTGCCAAAACTTACCTGGCCCCACACAATACTCGGTGATGATTTTGTATCTGCATGTTCAGTATTCGAACTCTTGGGCAAATACGTCTTACTGGTCGAGCTTCAGAAAAGTACTTGCACCCCCTCTACAGAAGAATCTAGCCCTTTTATCTGCCCTGGCGGAAGCAGCCACCGGAAATGATGCCCTAAACAAGAGCCCACATGGCACGTGAGCAATTCCACAAGGAAAGTGCGCTGGGGCAGCAGGTCCCACCTGAGGATGAGAGGCACTATTGTGCTCACTATGTGACCTGGAGAGCATGGAGGGGAAACGCTCCCCCGTGCTCAAGTTCAACCAATTTCGAGTCAAAATCTGGAGGAAAATGTCAGAAATCACAACTCAAAGATAAAAAGTTTCGAATATCATAGAAATGTCAAAGTAGCCATAGCCTCTTTTTGTTGATTTCTGGAAAATGGCAAGTCCCTTTGTTGCTGTTTTTGTCTTAAAGTAATAGCTGGGTTCTAGACGCGGCATAGTTGTCTCTGTTCAGGCTGCTGTTAACAAAATACCGCCAACTGAGTAGCTTGGCAATTTCCCTCTCCTGGTTTGGAGTTATGATCAAGGCGCTGGCACATTTCTAGCCCGGCAATGATCTTCTTTCTGTTTCATAGTCAGGGCCTTCTCTCTGCCTCCTGGCTGGTAGAAGCAGCCAGGTGTCTCTGCAGGGTCTCTTATGTAAGCCCATTCAGAAGTACCCACCCTCAGGAGCTAAGCACCTCCCCAAATCACCATTTCCTGATAGTATCGCACCGGGATTAGGTTTCAGCATAGAATGTTTGGGCCATCACAAACATTGATAGCATCATGGTAGAAAGACGGGGCTTATATTATCGTACTGTTGCCCAATTTTCAGACAATCCTGGCATCTGTATCTGGCTGCATCACTACATACGGTGCCCTGAGAGATGCATTCAGATCTGGAAGTCTTGAGTAAACTTGGCTTGATCCTAAACACATACAGACCAGAAAAACAAATACTGCTCTTTGCTACAGAAAGGCTACTGAAATTAAATACAACGAATAATCCAACGAAAGGAAAGATTTTCTATACTTTACATTTCATTAAGTTCATGGAGATTTCCTTGTGGGAAAATTTTGAAATGAGGAAATATGGAAAGAACAATGTAATGTATAAACATTCACCCACCAACCGGACCAAGCTGCGGGGCCTCTACACGACCGCCAAGGCCGACGCGGAGGCCGAGTGCAACATCCTCCAGAAAGCCCTGGATCAGATCGCTGAGATCAAGTCTCTGCTGGAAGAGAGGCGGATTTCGGCCAAGATCGCGGGCCTCTACAATGACTCGGAGCCGCCTCGGAAGACCATGCGCAGGGGCGTGCTGATGACCCTGCTGCAGCAGTCGGCCATGACCCTGCCGCTGTGGATCGGGAAGCCTGGTGACAAGCCCCCGCCCCTCTGTGGGGCCATTCCAGCCTCCGGGGACTATGTGGCCAAGCCTGGAGACAAGGTAGCTGCCCGGGTCAAAGCCGTGGACGGGGACGAGCAGTGGATCCTGGCCGAGGTGGTCAGTTACAGCCACGCCACCAACAAGTACGAGGTGGATGACAGTGATGAAGAAGGCAAGGAGAGGCACACCCTGAGCTGGCGGAGAATCATCCCACTGCCACAGTGGAAGGCCAACCCCGAGACGGACCCCGAGGCCTTGTTCCAGAAGGAGCAGCTCGTGCTGGCCCTGTATCCCCAGACCACCTGCTTCTACCGTGCCCTGATCCACTCGCCCCCACAACGGCCGCAGGACGACTACTCAGTCCTGTTTGAAGACACCTCATATGCGGACGGCTACTCCCCGCCCCTCAACGTGGCCCAGAGGTACGTGGTGGCCTGTAAGGAGCCCAAGAAAAAGTGACACGGCGGCAGACCCGCCCTGCGCGGCCAGCCTCCCTGGGGAAGGCAGCCAAGGATTTTCTGTGACCAAATAAATCCCCTCAGCGCGCACGAATAAAGTAATAATAAATAAAAAAGATTCATGATCACTCACCTAGAATTAAAATAAATGATGACAATTTGGATATACTTGTTTTATCTGCTTTTATACAATCAGCAACATATAACAGAGATAAATCTGAAGTCCCTCTGTTAGGAAACTGGCGCAGTTTTATCTATGGTGCGATCTACACCCTGATTTACATCCTAGGCTCTATTCGCGCTGCCATTGCTGGAAGCCAGGTGGCCACATGGTCCAACCGCTGTTGTCAAGCTCCACCCCCATCCTTATGGGATTTGCTGCTCCGCTGCTCCTGCTTCCCTGCCCGACCTCCGGCAAAGTTTTAAAAGGGCCTGTTCCTGAACACGTGGCTCTCTCTTGATTCTTCTCTCCTGCTCTCTCTTGCTCGCTCTTCTCTTCCCTCGTCTCTCTTCTCTCTCTCTAGCCTCCTCTGCTCCTGTCTCTTCTTTCTCTCTTACTCTCCTTTTCCTTCTTGCCCCTTCCCTCCAGTCTGCTGGGTTTTCCCCGATAAACCCTTTCTCTTACTCCGGTGTTTGGTGTGTTTTGTGACGGCTAACGCGTTCCTCCCTTAACTAGTCTCTTTCTCTTCCCTTGAGACAAACATTATCATGAATTTTTATACTTACTTGCATATACATGTGCATGTTTTCCTGAAGGGTATGTGGTTTTTATGTTTTGTTCTAAAATACCTAAATACATTCTAGGTTTTGTCATTTGACATCATGCTTTTTGTCATTTTGAGACTTATTTTTGATATATTAACTTGATTTCATCATTTTTAACTGCTATTTTATAGCCCATTATAACTTATTTTATATCTACTTGCACTCTTTTAACAATCATATTGCAGTAAACTTTTGTATGTATATTTTTGGGAAGATGTCAGAATTTTTCTAAAAAACACAAATACTGAACTGAAAGGCATGTGCCTTTTAAATTTTAGTTGACACATAATAATTGCACATATTTGTGGGGAACAATAGATGTATTTATGGGCTACAGTATCATATATATGCAATGTGTACTGATCAGGGTAATTGGAATATCCATAACCTCAAAAACGTATTAATTCTTCATGCTGGGAGCATTCCACATACTCCTGTTAGCTATTTTGAAATACATAATTATTGTCAGCTATGGTTATCTTACTGTGCTATAGAATGCTAATCCTATTCCTCCTACCCAACTGTAATCCCATACTTCTTAAACGTCTTCCCTCCAAAGGTTCCTCCTCAACTCCCTCCTCAGGTGGCAGTAAGCTATACTCCATTCTCTTCTATGAGATCAACTTTTTAGCTTCCATTCATGAGTATAAGTGAGAACATGTGGTAATTGTCATTTTTTTTTTGACAGGCAGAGTGGACAGTGAGAGAGAGAGACAGAGAGACAGGTCTTCCTTTTTGCCGTTGGTTCACCCTACAATGGCCGCCACGGCTGGCATGCTGCGGCCGGCGCACCACGCTGATCCAATGGCAGGAGCCAGGTGCTTCTCCTGGTCTCCCATGGGGTGCAGGGCCCAAGCACGTGGGCCATCCTCCACTGCACTCCTGGGCCATAGCAGAGAGCTGGCCTAGAAGAGGGGCAACCGGGACAGAATCCGGCACCCCAACCGGGACTAGAACCCGGTGTGCCGGCACCGCAAGGCAGAGGATTAGCCTAGTGAGCTGCGGCACCGGCCGTATCTGTCATTTTATGGTTGTAACATTTCACTTTGTGTAATGACCTCCAGTTTCATCCATGCTGCTTCAAATAATAGAATTACATTCTGTTTTGGTAGTCAAATAATATTACATTGCATATATATTTCACATTTTCTTTATGCAATTATATGTTTATGAACACCTAGATTAATTGGATATCTTGGCTATTGTGAATAGAGACATATTTTATATTTCTAGATGATTTCAAGTGAGTTTTCATCTTTTTTTAAGAGTTATTTTATTTATATAAAAGAGTTACAGAGACAGTGAGGGAGAGACAGAGAGAGAGAAATCTTCCATCTACAGTTTCACTCCCTAAATGGAGCATTTGGGAGAATTTTCAAAATGGCTCCTATTTGAAGGAGTATTTGTACACTTACAAATATACATATATTTACAAACATATATGCACGTGTCTATAGAGAGAGAGAGAGAGACAGGGAGAGAGACAGTTTCATTTATATAGTATTAGAAATATATCAGTATTTCCATGAGTTTCGTTTCTATCTATCCAAGTAAAAAACTTTATGTTTTATCCCACTGCTCGTTTCTATCTGTTTGATCAAGTACCAGGAGGATGAGACTAGGTAGCAATTTGAATTTACCAGAATTCCTGTTGGATTCTAAGAATAAGACATCAGCTGCTTTGGTGGGATTGATTATTGTGGGGAGCAACTGGGAGCAACTCAGACTAGACTAAGTTACTGGAATTAAGACTTATTCTATGCATCTGCTTTCCCACAATATGGCGCTGGGAGAGGAGGAAACAGCTTCTACACAGCTGCCTCCAGTTCAACCAATAAACAGCAGGAGCTGCTCCTGATTGGAGGAGAGCAGCGTACTCGGCGTGTGGGTAGCAGAGTTGGGATTGGTGGAAGAGGACTATAAAGGAGGAGAGAGACAGCATGCACCGGGAACATCTATCTGAAGGAACACCTGAGCAGCCCCCGAGAGAGCCAGCCGGTGGTGTGCCACTCCCCCGCGGAAGTGGGGAAAGTGGCAGGGGGAACCGCCCTTCCATGGAAGTGGAAGGGACGGTAGCCAACCCGGGAAGAACCAGCAGCAAACCCGGGAAGGGCCGAGCAGACGAAAGAACAGCGCAGGGTCCTGTGTCGTTCCTCTGTGAAGAGGGGGAGCGACATAATGGTGCCGTGACTCAGATATGAAGCCTAGGCAGGGTTTAGTGTCGTTCCTCCATGAAGAGGGGGAGCGACAGATTATCTAATAAAAGACATTGGAGACATTCTTCATCATTGGGGAAGTCAGCAATCATTATTTATTTTTCATCTCTTTTCTTTCTCCTGAAAGTTTTTTTAAATGGGTCTTTTACAATAGCAGAGTGGATAAGTTAATTCCCACATCCTCCCAGCTATGTAAAGTCAAAGCAGGGAAGAAAGTTCAAGGTTTTGTGTGTGTGTGTGTGTGTGTGCGTTTGGAGGAATCCAGCTACCCTATTTGTTCCATTCTGAAAGAGAGGAAATGTCTTCTTACGGTGTATAGATTCTAGTTGGTTACTAGCTAAATATATTCTGCACTCTCAGTGTGGGGATGTATTTGCAGTCTAGAGGTAGACTTTTCTGGGGAGAGTAAAGTGGTTTTGTTAATGCAAAGAAAAATACATCTGGCCTGAATATGCACATGTTTCCATTTGACTTTTGTTACAATTCTCCTTTGGAATTTGGTCAATGTAAAGGTGAAGTTCCTGCAAGTTGAGCTTTCCAGAGAAATAGAAGGGTGTCTTCCGGTTTACTGAAATTTCATGTCTGCTTATCTGTGGTGGACATGGTTGGACGGATGACTGTTCTTATTGGAAGCTGGCCTCTGTTAGTTCCTAAGATACTTCTAAAATTAATGTGCTGTAATTTTATCAATTTGGGAAGAACAGAGATCTGTTTGGCTCAGAGTTAAAGAAACAGTCCAAGGAAACGTAGGTCCTGGAACGTAGGTTCCGGCACACCACCGGCCGGAAGATGAGTTGAATTTTCACGTGTGGTGACAGTTCAGTTAGAGGGAGAATTAGACTAAAGGTACTGTGATGATGGTCACCTGGTATGTGGATTCCTTAAGGCCAAGCAAACACATTTGCAGAAAAATTGTGATTAATAGTCAAGGTTCCTCCACTCCTGGGTGAGAGAGATGGTCAACAGAGTGAGAGAGAGAATCTTGTAACTTTAAGTATATTGCCTATCCCACTAAAATATAAACATAATATTTGATGCTTATTTGAATGCTTGCATCCATATGGAAATGTTTGGGTTCGAGTTCTGGCTCCACTTTCTGTTCTAGTTTGCTGTTCAGACACGCATTGTGAGATAGCAGGTGATGGCTCAAGTAGGTGGGTTGCTGTCAGCTTTATAAGAGATGGTGATTAAGTTCTTGGCTCCTGCCTTTGGTCTGGCCCAACCTGAGCTGGTGTGGGCATTTGGGAAGTGGATCCCCAGATGACAGTGATCTCTCTCTCTCTCTCTCTGTTACTTTCTCCCTCTCTCTGTGTCTCAAACAAGTAGAATTATTTTTTTTTTCAAATTTAAATGCAACTATAATTTTTGTTTCTTAAATATGTATAAAAAGGAAATAAAATGTAAGTAGAAAGGTTTTCTGGGGAATAAAGAATAATAAAATTAAAACATTATAGGAAAAATGTTTTTTATGTTGATGTACTTTAAAAATTAAATAAATAGCAGCTGATATATCTTTAAACTCTATGTTATCTAACCAGCTGGTGAGAACAAGCTCAGCTCCATTACTTCCATTTAGGGATACATACTCCTTAATACCTACACTCAAGATCCTCATTATCTTCACAAAAATTTATAAGCTACTTAAGATAAGTTAAAGTAACAATTTACCTGAGGATTGTATGTAAGTATCTTAAACAAATATGACTTCAGTCAATGGCAAATGAACAGTTGCCTTTACCCTGGGAAAAATAAAGACAAATTCAACACAAACACACATGCACACTTTGGAAAGTCAAAGTGTTAATTAAAGTACTTGACATTCTTCTAACCATAATATACCTGGGGCCCATTTGCCTAAAGTAAACCATCTCTTTTTAACCAAAACTGGGCAAACCATTCACTCAATGTCATGGTGTTTCAATGTGTACCTTTTAGAAGTGATGAAGTCAGGGAAACTAACCTCAGAACAACTACTGAAGCCCATTAACGTGCACTTGTTTGCATTTTTTGGCTTTATGTGGGAAACACTCTCCAGACAGCTGTAGAACAAAAGCAACATGAACTTTGGGCTGAATGAGATAAAATTGAGCCTGATGCTTTTT